CTAGATTGGCAATGGAATATGATATAAATCAATAAATATGTGTGTGACTTTATAATATGACATAAACTTAATAAATGTGCGTGTAAAATGACTGACTTTTTTACTTACCGACTTGATTTTTTTCTTGAACTGGTTTTTCATCAAAGTTCTCAATTACTTGGGCGCAAATAATTGCCCATGCATTGTTCTTCTTTATTTTGTCGCTGTGTTCCTTAAGTTTATAGTTCCAAATAAGTTCTTGCGTTTTAATTGCACTAATAAGCGCATCACTATCGCACACGCCCTCCATGTTCAAAGATCAGTCGACAAATGAGACAAGCGAGATAGACAGACGCCGCGAGGCCACAAGGGCCGGGGGGGAGATCGGAAAGCTGTCGACTGCTCTAGCGCAGTCAACGGCTCGAGCAGTCCGTGTATGCCTCGCGACCGCTCGCGCGCGGTTGACTGCACGATGAATTTCGTCATGCAGTTGACGGCTTGAAGCGGTCGCGACTGCTCGAGCAGTCGTGTGTACGGCAGCGAATGAATGACTATAGTTCACCGCGCGGTCGCGGCTTTAAGCAGTCTGTCTCAACTGCTTGAAGCAGTCCGTGTACGGCCACCCTAAGAGGCGAATCATAAACATTACTAATATATTAATGTTTAAATAAGAGATGCAATTTGAAAGCCAAAAATTAAAAACGTCAATTATGTCATTTTTTGCTTTATTTAGGTAACTTTAGAAAGGGGGTAAATTTTGTTTTTTGATTTTGTTTAGGCATAACTTGAAGATCTATGCTAATAAGTGAGATCTCTGTACCTAAAACGAAATTTTATACAACCTGTATATGCATGCTCCAATATTGAAATCTAACATATTTTTTGAAACTTTGTTACTATTACTTCAGTAATAAAATAAAGTTATATGCACCTCGTGCTTATTTTTTGAAGCAATACAACACTTCTTCATAAATGTGTCAAAGAGTTATAACGCACGAGCTGCAAAAGGCAAGGCGCTACAAAAAATACCATGTGCTTTTTAAATAAAAAACACACGCCGCTGACCGGCCAGCTAGCTCTGTTGACAAAAGGGTAAACAGCGGAGAGAGCAAGACAATACAGGGACGTAGGTAAAAGAATTCAATACAATTGGTAATAGCTCCGTAGCTATCCTCGATTTCAACTCAATCTTCTCTACTTACGGTTAGTGGTTCTGGTAGAGTCTTTTGGGCGCCACCTAATTCGTCCAATTTCGCTTATCACTATCCGAACTAGGAAAGGTAGCTTAGCTTGAAAAATATGTAACTATAATCCCACAAAAATAATTATTTATTGGGGTGCTCTGCACCTTCATAAAAGCACAACCAAAACTTCGGTTCCCCAATGGGAATCCCAAAAACTTAGGTCCAACTATGAGGCTTTAATAAAAAATAAATACTCTAAAGTAATTCAAACATAAAACATTTACAAAAAAAAATTTCCCCCATGAAATACGGAATAAAACCCACCAGAATCTCTGGGGTCAGAACACAAATATTGTTACCGTGGCACAAGTGATGAATTAGATAAAGTGATTTCAATCCCTTAATCGGTAGCTTGGGGGCAATGAAGTGGTTCAAGTCGTTACGAGCTCGTACGTTACATACTGGTTATTACTTCGTACATGGGAGTAATACTTAAGTGATTATCAATTATCGTATCTCAATATTCCAAGCTGACTAATTAACAGTATTACTATTGGCTTTAGTGCATATGCCAATTACCACAATGTGGGTCCAATTCAATACAAACAGATAAATTTATAACATTTACATCACCACAGGATCAAATATTTACGTCTGAATGGCTCCTCTGGGTCCTGGTGTAAGTCTTCTACGTAGTGCAATAAAAAGGTGTCGGTTATTAGAAGAGTTCGGCTTAGCCCGCAAGATCGTAACGTTGCAATGCTAGACTTTACGGCACTGCTCTGCAATATTCTGTCGCCTAACTTCCCAAGTTCAATCCATCCTCAATAACCCCATTCGGTACGTAGATCGGTACAAGGATTTTATCTAGTACAAGGACTCCTATCCAATACAAGGACTCTAAAAATATAACCTAATTACGACTGGTTCTCACCTAAATATAGACGAACGAACCTCTAAGTAGAGAGTAAACAAAAAAAACTTCGTCAAACAGCAAGTAATGTAAAAGGCGTTATATCGTGGATCGGATCGGTATCGATGAGTGTTTCGGCTTCAAGATTAAAATTCCATTTCGGAAAGTTGCTGTCGATTTAGATTCATTAACGACACAACATTTAAGTTCGTTGGCAAGTAAAAATGCTTTCGCAAATGGTTAATTCACCAACGGAACATGAAGATGGTAAAACACACACCGAATCCCAGTCAAACACACACGTTCCTCTTGCAAGTTCTAGCGAGAAGACCCCACTTTCTTTCCGAATTTCCGGCTAGTGCAACGAAGAAATTTATCTCCAACCAATTAAATCACAGAACGGCCTTTACAATACCATATAAGGAAATCTCCAAAACGCTTATCGAAAACGGAAATGAATTATCACCAATACGAACATAGATAGATATGAAAATAACACCAACGCAAATGCATAAAGTTACTAGATGGGTTGCATTCAGCGCGGCGCAAAAAGTTATACACAGAGTGAATAAAAGTGAAATATAGACAACATGTTGGCATTGTTTTAAAACTGTTACAGAGTAACCCCAGATTTGTAACTGTAGCACGTTTAAATAGAAAATGAGAATGTTATTAAAATATATGAAAAATTTGATGGATTTTTATGCAATTTATGTGTACAAATAATTTAAAAAATAAACATACTTTTTTTTCTGTGACGGGAAAAATGTTTGTCATTTTATTATCTGTTGACAGGTAACAAACATTCACTTTTCATGAAATTACTTTTTTTCCGGATATACTCGCATATAGGTATACACATATGATTTAAATAAAGATAATTTTTTTGTACTTTCTCTGGTTCTACCAACTCAGGTGAAGTCTAAGAAAATTCAGAATCGGATATTTTAAACTTTATATCATTCAAAATAACTACTAAACAATCATTAAATTCAAAATGTTTAAATCAAATGACAAAACTGACAGATATTTGAGTAAAGGTTTCCTTAGCAACGCAGTTCGTATTATCGCGAGAAGTACAACAGCCTGTCTGCAGTTTAAAACTTCAAATTTCTATAAATCGATACGACTGCAATATACAGGAAGGATTGCAAGAAAAACATTCTTATCTTTCCTTGCATGTTCATTTTTGAAGCAATTTGTTATGCTAAGCCAAACTTATCATTGACAAAAAAAAACAATGTAAGATACACGATCACGACACTTGGCTTAAACATAACACTCGAGCTAATTACTGTAGGCTGTCTAAAACACAGGATGGTGTAGTGCGCCAATTTTAACTACTTTACAAAATCCTTCCTATAATAGTATAAGATCTTTGTCCATTGCTGCTCTAAAGTCTCGCCTCAAAAAATTCCTTTCAAGTAATACATTTTATTGCCAGGAAGAGGTCACTAAAAACTGTCCCTCTATGTAAAATCCTACTGTGTTATCTTCTTTTGTTAGTTAATCTTGAAATGTACCTATGTATTTTGTTTGTCATATTTTTCTAATGATCACCGTACGTTTATCCACACAAATAACGGTATAATAAATATTATTATTATCGTTTTCCGTCATAGAAAAAAAATATACACGGGAAAAATGTTAGATTTTAGCTCTCGGTTTTTGATAACACAACCTCGAGTAAAAATCTAGTACTTTTTCCCTTGTATAATTATATTCTTACCTTTTCAATTTCCACCGATAGCAGAATTGAGTCAGAGCCCTGAGAAGTTGAAGAAGCCGCATCACCCGTCTTCACTACAAATTAAAAAAATTGTTTTTTTTAACTAATCGAAGTGTAAAATATTTTAATGTAAAATAAACTTTATAAACAAAATAAAACAATTTACCTTCTTCACGTTGCTCTTTTCTCAATTTACTCGCGAGTGCCGCGCCACGAAGCGGCGTCGCCTTCTTCTCAGATCCGTTCTGAAAACAATTTAAATATTGCTTTGGGGAACATATATAAAATTTGATTACAACATACGCAAAAGCATTTAGAATAGATCAATCATTCGAAACAATAAAGTATTTTGCTCAGTACGATTTTTGAAAAGTGTATTTTGTTTCCTTTTATTAGAGGGACCTGCCATAGAAATTGGGATTATATTGCCCCATTAATAATGAAGTTGTTTTTTGAGCGTGCGTGGCACAATTTTTTGCGCATGCGTTTTGTTTGCCTTTATTAGAATGACCTACCATACATATTACACACAAATTTTCGTAACATTGTTCAACGAATAAGGAAATTAGCCATGATACATGAGCGACCGATTTTTGCAGGCAGGCAGTTCATTTGATTTTCATATGATAGGACCATTGACATACCACTCGGTTTCGTCTCGCACATTAAAAACACATTTTCAGACATCGTTAGGCTTCAACAATTTTATCAAATTACGCGTGGTCCAGGGTCCACAGAATTGCATTAAATTCATGTCTTGTGTATCCAAGCAGTAAAGCCCTTGTGACTTTTTCCCAAGGATTTTGATGCCCAAATAACATTTTTGACATATGTTAATCATAATACACATGGTCGATAAAATTTCATTAAACTTTAGATCTTTAAGAGAGTGATACTTGCCCCTTACACAAACGTGGAAAAATGATACCTAAATGAATAATAATTTATTGTAAATGTTCCAAGTTTACCGATAAAGTGATAAAAGTGCCAGACATTCGTCATTTTATAAAAGCTGCAAGTTTTTCAGCGCATGCTTCTCACACAGGTAGGTATCTTAGGGCCATCGTGGCTTTGGTGGGTCACAGGTATCAAAGGTGTATAAAATACCAACTTAATTAGGTACCTACGTCAAATTGCAAAGTGTAATTTACTTATCTTCATTCTCGGGCACTTTGTATCTTGGTAATTGCTTCTCAGATATACTTCAACTTAAAGAAACTATAACTGTACTTATGTTGTAGTATAAAAGGTAAATTTTATGGGTACAGTTAGTTCGGTAATCATAAAAAACTGTCAGACTGTCTGAGGAAACATCACAACGGTTTCTTATTTTACGTACAAGAAAATTAAGATTTGTAATTGGACATAATTAAGTTGATATTTTACACATCTTTGATACCTTTTATCTGCCAAAGCCACAATAAGTCAAAGTACATAAAACATAAATTGATATTTATATTGTGAATGTGAACCAAAAATCCATTCACGTCGTCCAACCTTCTTTCCCGATTTCGAAGAAACATCCAAACCAAGATCCACACGTTCTACATCATTCGGGCCGACAGGGACATTGTTGACTGAATCGGTACTCGAAGCTAAAAGAATAGTTTTCGTTAATCAGAATAAAATCAAATTTATAAAGGGTGTCCCAAAATTAACGCAAGATTTGAATTTGCCGCCATTTGTGCGGTGAAGTGTTGGCAACCCTGAAAAAAAAGCAATTTGACAGCTAACAGTATAGGGTTATTAAAAATGGAGCGTTACACGATAGAACAACGTGTCTTCATTATTAAAGAATATTTCAAAAATAGTGAAAGCTTGGGGCTGCAGTTCGAAAATTTCATACAAAATATGGTAGGAATAGTGTTCATATTTGAACGGCTTGTTTTTGGACGACCAGTGTGTTTGGCGTCTCCAACGGATCCAGTCTCCATGAATTTTTCAATTAATCTCTTCACAGTTGACGAAGTTAAAACACTGTTCCGACCATATTTTGTATGAAATTTTCGAACTGCAGCCGCCAAGCTTTCACTATTTTTGAAATATTCTTTAATAATGAAGACACGTTGTTCTATCGTGTAACGCTCCATTTTTAATAACCCTACACTGTTAGCTGTCAAATTGCTTTTTTTTCAGGGTTGCCAACACTTCACCGCACAAATGGCGGCAAATTCAAATCTTGCGTTAATTTTGGGACACCCGTTATATACCTAGTCTTCGAATTTTGGCATTATGTAAACTCAATGCCCCTCCTTTCAATTTCTTCGGAGGCCTCATATTGATGTCGAAGGTAACCTGAAAATCTTTTTAACAAAAGGTTTTTTTTCAGTTTCACATAGGTATTATACTAGGATTTGTCACTTACAAGATAAATTAAACGATAAAAAAGAGTAAAATCCCACGAAGATCGAAATTCCACAAGGTGGCTGAATTTTTGCGAAATCTGCGAAAATACGTATCGCCATAAATTGAATCGTATACCGTAATTCACTTACCAATAAAATAAACAATTAAAAACAATATCAATAGGATAAGAAAATGAACAATCTAATACACCTCCAAGACGAAACGTGATCGCAATGGAACCTGGAAATGAAGTGGCGCCACTGTCGTAGAACAAACTACGCAAGCGGATCTAAATTCCGGCGTGACTCCCGAATTTTAGTATGGCAATTTAAAAAAAAAATATGATCTCTTGCCACGGGGTTAATACGATTTCGATTTTCTTCGGAAAGGTCACTTTAAATAGAGAACTAATTATGCTATATTTTTCCCATTGTAAGTACAGAAGTACGAAGGACCGTTTAAAAATTGGCAAACACGCAATTTAATGGTTTTTAAAAAAAAAATTTCCAGAACCTTTAATTTTGAATATTTTCGCTCCAGTTAATAAAACACGTGTTCTTCGAAATCTGAAAAAATACTTGTTACATAAATTAAATCATATAACACTATTCACTTACCAATAAAACAAACATTTAAAAACTTAGAAGTGAAGTGGCGCCACTTTTGCAATAAGGTAGAGGATGTAGATTCAAAAGTGACTCCTTTAAAAATGTAGTGTAGGGGTCAATCTTTGAGGATCAACACTGCGACTTGAAAAATACATAAACCGAACGCCAGGAAAGATTGTCATTCACAGAACATATAATCACAGTCTACAATTTTCGCGACTTCTGGAATACTATCGTGTATACAGCGATAAGGATCCACCTAATCCATAGATGACGGAACATACCCTCAGCTTCGCGTCTCGTTTAAATAATTCTTTGCAAAATTGCAAAACCGGGCATTACATTCCCAATTTATTTTTACAATAGAATTTGTAGAATATGGGGTGAGTAGAGAGAAACAAATGGAAATCATCGGTATCATATCGAAAAAACCATATTGGACACATAATTTTAGCTAGTCCTTCCTTTATTATTATAAAAATTTGAAATGCAGTTTAAGAGATGGGAACGTTAAATTGTGGGATTTATTTATTATGGAGACACCACTAATCTCTATTTAATTTTTATTGAGATCAGTGGAAGACACCCAGTCTGCGACTTTGTAATACAAAAGGTGTGGGTGTGTGTGTGTGTGTTTCCTTTTTAATTTTCATTAAAAGTGTGGTAAGTATTTTTTTAATTATCTTAACGATTGATAGTAACTTAATATATTTATCAACATTTGTAGCGATGGAATTTTATTTGGGAGATAGCATATTAAGAAGGATGTTGGCCACGGTGTGCAAACGGAAAGTTCGGCAGATGCACGGCAAGCGTTTGGTAGATTTATGTATCGGGGGGCCAAACTATAACGCAATTAAGACGAAGAATCGAGAGGTCGCGTAATGCAGCTTCTAAATGGTTTGTGCCACGGAATGTTCCTTTGGTCATTTGGATTGGTACGAACGATATTTCAAGAGGCGTAAAGGCTTCCGTTGCCATTAGAAATTTGAAGGGGTTATTACGTACCCTAAGGAAATGGACGTTACAATATCGAGCCCTGCTGTGCACCGTCCCTCCCATGATCCGTACTGGGCAAAGCGTACAAATCGAATTGTCACAATACAATGCGGCGATTAGAGATATATGCTCTAATCGCCGTGATGTTTTTAAACTTATCGACTTTTACGCCTTGTTTCAGTGCGAGAATGCGGAGCGTATATTCGAACGGTAAGTTTCGTATATGATATTTTGTATGTGGTATTAATTTGGAAAATTTCAGTGACGGTATACATCCGAACGCAGCAGGGTTGAGAAAAATATACCGTGCCATTCGAAGTAAGTTGAGTGCGTATATGAGTTATAATTGAAAATAAAACATCTATTTTTATTGTAGGTACGTAATAATCGCTTCAGATTTATGATGGTAATTGAAGACGATTCGCCTTTTGAAATACGTTATACAGGGTTATTACAAATAATGTTGATAATTGCAAACGTGCATGAAGCTAGTTTTATTTATGTTACAAAGGGTTATTACAAATAATGTTGATAATTGCAAACGTGCATGAAGCTAGTTTTATTTATGTTACAAAGAAATAAGATAGATACATTCCTAGGAAAAATATTTTATTTGTTACTCAGTTGTAAACGTTGATTAACAAGACAAAACGCAAACGGGTAAACGTCATGTTTAAACGCTACTGACTTGTAAAACTGACAGCAGACTTGTAAAACTGACAGCAGACTGTAAAAATTTTACAAGTTAGTAATCTAGTCATTTCATTGGCCAGAATTAATGCGAAGTCTCTGTTACATGGATCACATGATATTTTAGACATTTCTTCAAGATCAATTTAAGAACTAATTATTTACGTTTACAAATGAGTAACAAATAAAATATTGTACATTATACGCCAGGTAATAGTTTTTACTGGCTCTAGGAGATGACAGGCTCGCCTGACGGCTCGCCAGTCAACTTCTCCTATCGCCAGTAAAAACTCACTTACCTGGCTAATAATGTAAAATACTATAGAATATTATAAACATATCAATCCATTATTATTTTCAATCGAAATCAATAACATCATCTGTAACAACCCTGTATTGTCAAATCATTTAGTTTCTGCTTATTCGTTCTTCCGATTCTTTTTTTTAATTGAGTGTAACAGTTTTAAAACAATGCCAACATGCTGTCTATATTTCACGTTTATTCACTCTGTGTATAACTTTTTGCGCCGCGCTGAATGCAACCCATCTAGTAACTTTATGCATTTGCGTTGGTGTTATTTTCATATCTATCTATGTTCGTATTGGTGATAATTCATTTCCGTTTTCGATAAGCGTTTTGGAGATTTCCTTATATGGTATTGTAAAGGCCGTTCTGTGATTTAATTGGTTGGAGATAAATTTCTTCTTTGCACTAGCCGGAAATTCGGAAAGAAAGTGGGGTCTTCTCGCTAGAACTTGCAAGAGGAACGTGTGTGTTTGACTGGGATTCGGTGTGTGTTTTACCATCTTCATGTTCCGTTGGTGAATTAACCATTTGCGAAAGCATTTTTACTTGCCAACGAACTTAAATGTTGTGTCGTTAATGAATCTAAATCGACAGCAACTTTCCGAAATGGAATTTTAATCTTGAAGCCGAAACACTCATCGATACCGATCCGATCCACGATATAACGCCTTTTACATTACTTGCTGTTTGACGAAGTTTTTTTTGTTTTGTAGTTCGTTCGTCTATATTTAAGTGAGAACCAGTCGTAATTAGGTTATATTTTTAGAGTCCTTGTATTGGATAGGAGTCCTTGTACTAGATAAAATCCTTGTACCGATCTACGTACCGAATGGGGTTATTGAGGATGGATTGAACTTGGGAAGTTAGGCGACAGAATATTGCAGAGCAGTGCCGTAAAGTCTAGCATTGCAACGTTACGATCTTGCGGGCTAAGCCGAACTCTTCTAATAACCGACACCTTTTTATTGCACTACGTAGAAGACTTACACCAGGACCCAGAGGAGCCATTCAGACGTAAATATTTGATCCTGTGGTGATGTAAATGTTATAAATTTATCTGTTTGTATTGAATTGGACCCACATTGTGGTAATTGGCATATGCACTAAAGCCAATAGTAATACTGTTAATTAGTCAGCTTGGAATATTGAGATACGATAATTGATAATCACTTAAGTATTACTCCCATGTACGAAGTAATAACCAGTATGTAACGTACGAGCTCGTAACGACTTGAACCACTTCATTGCCCCCAAGCTACCGATTAAGGGATTGAAATCACTTTATCTAATTCATCACTTGTGCCACGGTAACAATATTTGTGTTCTGACCCCAGAGATTCTGGTGGGTTTTATTCCGTATTTCATGGGGGAAATTTTTTTTTTTGTAAATGTTTTATGTTTGAATTAATTTGGAGTATTTATTTTTTAAAGCCTCATAGTTGGACCTAAGTTTTTGGGATTCCCATTGGGGAACCGAAGTTTTGGTTGTGCTTTTATGAAGGTGCAGAGCACCCCAATAAATAATTATTTTTGTGGGATTATAGTTACATATTTTTCAAGCTAAGCTACCTTTCCTAGTTCGGGTAGTGATAAGCGAAATTGGACGAATTAGGTGGCGCCCAAAAGACTCTACCAGAACCACTAACCGTAAGTAGAGAAGATTGAGTTGAAATCGAGGATAGCTACGGAGCTATTACCAATTGTATTGAATTCTTTTACCTACGTCCCTGTATTGTCTTGCTCTCTCCGCTGTTTACCCTTTTGTCAACAGAGCTAGCTGGCCGGTCAGCGGCGTGTGTTTTTTATTTAAACAGCACATGGTATTTTTTGTAGCGCCTTGCCTTTTGCAGCTCGCGCGTTATATGAGTCGAATTGCTGTGCATTCGCCTGTCAAAGTATTATTGCATGGCATGCCGTTGTTAACATCAGGTAAAAAAAGAAGGTACCTACTTTTTTTATTTGTGGTAATTTTAATTTTTTTTTTGTAGATTCATCACCTAATTTCAACCGCTTCGCTTCAAATACTTAAGTTAGCGCTTTTACCCGGTGAGAGATTACGCAAATGACATTGTGTTGGAAAGATTTCAATTTGCATCCTTAAGTACAAGAAGGAAGTGTATAAGTTTTGCTTTTCTATGTAATTTTTATTGCAAAATAATATTGACTTTACATGTTTGTACAAGTGTATAACATTTTTTGTTCCACGTCTGTCATCCAGGCATGTAGTAACTTTTCATTTACCTATCTCAATGTCGAACAAACTCTAAAAAATTCTTCAGTTTATAACATGTGATTTTTATTAATATCTGTATTACTAACTTAAAGCTATTGTGTAAATGTAATTAATTTATCATTATTTTCGTATGTTGTTCATGCTCTTGTAAATATAATTTTCCGCATCATTTATGTAGCCTCACGACAAAATAATTTTTCTTAAGGTTGTTAAAATGCAATTAATTAATTTTTATTTTTGGGTATTATTTATGTTCGTTCGAATCTAATATTGCTTTTTGTAGCGTAGCGGCAAACAACTTTTATTTTTCGATCATGATGTTAACGGCAACGTTTATTTTATATTACACGCAAAAAAGAAGTATCATGTATTAATAAAGCATAGGTACAACATTAATTTAAGGTCATCGCGACTTTTATATAGGTCAAAGAAATATTTCTTTATAGCAAACTTCGAATTTCTTTAAAAAGATTTCATAAGTTTAAAATTCTGCATACTTACTTAATGCAGTATATCATTCATAAATTAAACAAAAGTATTCATGCAATATGCATTACACGTCATCCTTCTAAGGTGTTCATAACGACAGAATAAGAATAATTAATTTTATTTCAAATTCCTTAAACCCTTAATCCAAGATCAAAGTATAACATTTTAAAGATGTATTATTTCTATACAAGTACGTAAATGTCTTTCAGACAAGTAAATCGCATCATTAATGTGAGAAAACTTACTTTGGTTGAAACCTAAACGAACTTTAATAGAAGATGTAATATTCCTTACAAAGAAAATTAGTGTACTTCAATATAGTATTTGAAGCACTAATGCAAATCTATGCATAACCATTGTTTAAATAATCTGTATCTAGTTTCAAGTTCCGTCGTATCCTTATATTTAGGTTCTGTTTTGCGCCGTTAAGAGGGGTACTTCGATGGATCCGATATGCAATAAAAATATGGGTCCGAAAAATATATATTTAGATA